TTATGTTTTAGGGATATGGGTGCAGTCCTACTGATGCTTGTTGAAACCCCTGGCATCTTGCATCACAAGCTTGCACATTAATTTCACATCTGTTAAAAGTGGTATAACATTTCCTTACAGGTTTACTTAAAAGATTGGTACAAATAAGAGTGAAGCACTTTTTTATTTGAACAGTGGGAGGCATGAGTGTAATTACCTAGAGAGCCAGGGTCCCTAGCCAGGTCATTGGGCCTGGAGAGTTACTTACTGGATGCTTCTTGGATTCTGCAGGATAAATGGACACTCAGGTAATGGAATAGGTAAGTCACCAGACTTAACAATTCCCCTGTGGACAAATCCCCCCCGATTATTAAAAAGTAGCCTGACTGTACATATGGCAGGCCACAGTTACCAAAATGTAGTATGTATGGCAAACAGCTTTGGCTGGATCTTTCAAGCTAAATTAAATTGCACCATGATTTTGAGTAACTGTATCCAGGATTTAGACTTCCTCCCTAGATGAGATAAATATCTCTACTCATTAGTAGCGCATTCACATAATGAGCAGAACTCTCCTTAAAGTAGAGCAAAAGGGAAAAATAATATTGTCACACTTCTAAATTAATAAAGCTCTCCCCTGATCTAAAGCAGCCCAACCATTTACTTACTGTCGTGAGCAGCACATCCTCAAGTTTCAGAGATGCACAATAGGAAAAGCTGTCCCCTCCCCTCAGCCGCACATCTGATAGCCCTTAGGCGGGTTTGAAAGGCGTCTAACCAGTAGCTGCACAGCATCTGGTTCTGCAGGTAGTGCAAGGTTCAGCAGCCAAGTAGAAAAAAAGAATGCACCGCTCCTTTCCTCCTTGCCTCCAGCAACATCTGCTTGTGTGACAAAGTGAAAGCTCAGTAGTTCTGCACTTCAAAAACTAGTTTGATGTCTGACTTATATTCCAAGTGCTTGGTACCTCTATGCTTTGCACTTGCCTAACTGTTTTAATCTCTCACAGTGCAAGCAACTTGATAATGTAATAATCAAACAAAGGATTGACAGAGTATGTAGCAAACTTAACGTATCCCTCTGATTCTTCTACGGTGGAGTGATAGATACTTCAACAAGAAAAGAATTCCCTTAGTGGCTTCATTGTTTTCCAGGCATCTTTCTAGATGAACTTTTCCAATGGTAAAATCATTACAAAGTGGAAATGCAATCTCTCCAAGGGCTAACTTGAAAACCTAGTCTAATATAAGGAGCTATAATGCAGTAATGAATCCTATAGGCAAAACAGGACTTTTTGTGACTGGCTCTGTAAGGTGAAGAAATGCGAAAAAGTGTTGCATTAGGAGAGTTAAGCCAGAGTGGTTTTTTTGACTGCCTTATAATTTGGGATGTTACAAAACAAACCAAGGTCTCCCCAAAAGCTAGAGCCTAAACTCTAAAATGAAAACCCCTTGAATTTCTATAAAGGTAAGCTCTCATCTATATTGTATTTTTGAAAATGAAAAGGCAGTGCTGAGAACACTGGTGCTTGGGTGTGTCCGATATTCAAATCTTGAACTGGATTCAAATTTTACCTCTCGATGGCAGCTGCAGTACTCTCTGCTTCTGTTCCTTCTGAGATTGTTGCAGGGTGTATGATCCCCCCATTACATGTTGAAAGAGGCCGTGGGTATTTTATGGCTACGTAAGAAGGTTCCTTCCCCGTCACACTGCGGTTACATCAGGCCCTCTAATAAGCAACAAAATAATGTTTAAACATACCTCTGCCAGAGAAAGGTAGTGGGAATCCAGGCTGGTATCACCCCCTCTGAGATGGCTTATTGGGAATTTTCATATGAAAAACCAGAACAAAATCAAGTCTGTCAGAAAAGAAAACTCAAAACTTGCTACTGGGAGAGGAAGTGAGAAAAATAAATCTTAGTCAAAAAAAGCAAATTTCATTTCTAGCATGACAGAGAGGAAATAGATAGCTAAATTATAGATTTACAGTGAGAGTTCAGCAAACATATAGAAGTCTATACAAAGCACTGAAAATTAGAGACCCTTGAAAGAAATATTATTTGCTTTCATCCTTCTCAGGAAAAGAAGCAATTGCAATCAATTATGTTGTAATTTTAGTATTGGCTTCAAACTGTTTCTAAGATTACTGTACAGCTTACCCTAATATATGATAAAAGCACAGTTTTTCTAGTTTGGAAAATAAAACTTAAGAATTGCTGTGTTCAAGTTGAAGCAAATCTAATAGTCATATGTGTAACAAACCATGGTGTTAGTTCAGGACAATGCAATATCTTATAGGGTTTTTTTCTTTAACTGTGATCAAATTAACATGGAAAAATCAGTTTCTAATTGACTATTAACTGACTTCTTGTATGCATTAAAATTCTGAGCTGTCTGAAATCATAGCGTTTCTACTGTCCTCAAAAAAGAGATTTTAACAAGATTCAGTGCCCTGCAATAAACCTAAAGCAAACCTACAGCTGCACTTGGCAATTGTACCTACCTACTTTCCAGAAAATCAATAATTTCTGAGAAAGGCCCACTGTTTAAGTACTAAAATGATATTAAATGAGCATCAAGGCTTAAGTCCTTGAGTGGAATGTGTGTAGTGTGAGAATGAGTTCTGTTTCAGAAGGTCTGATAACAATAACCTTGCATTTTCCTTAAAAAAAAAAAAAAAAAAAAAGTCTGGTTTTAATCCAAGAATTACAAACTACAAGAATGTAATAATCAGTGAAAGAAATAAAATCTCTGAATACTTTACAGAAGTGGAGACAGTAGAAAGCAGACATAAGACTATAACTTTGTTACTACGCCGTAACCACTCCCAAACGGCCTCTGTGGGAAACGTCTGGCTTGCCTGAACAGCCTCAAAGCAGGTCACGAGCCGAGGAACCATTAAAGGTGTTACCGAGCCACGGTGTTACCTACAGGCACGCGAGAGTCTGTCCCCTTCCGTCAGCATCCCCCGACGCAGCAAGGCAGCAGCGTCTCCCCCACGTACCAGCTGTGAGCCAGCCCACCCTCCGACCGGCAACCGGCCTCAGCGAGCGCTTCCAACGCCCCTCCAAGTTGCTGCTATTGCTTCCTTCCATTGTATGCGATAAATGTAACGCTGCTAGGAATAATGGGCGTCCTCTTCTGATACCGTGGCAATTATTAGGAAAGAGCATCTTTTTTTATACGGATACATATATACACACAATTATATATGCCATGTGTTTATATGCGTATTTTATGTATTTACCTTTTATATATGTATTCATGTCACTTGCAGTTAACACTTTATATAGGATGTATATGTTTATAATATATATATTCTGTTTTATACAGTAAGTAACTATTATAGGTGTTACATGTTTACTTAGACATATTTTCCATGGTTTGTAGATATACAAAATGACATGATGGCAATAGGTGCTTTCCATCTATTTGGGTGCGTGGGGAGAGGAGGATAGGTGTTAGGAGTGTTTTGGTTTTGTTTTTTTTTTTAATGGCATCAGTAACCGCGGCTGCCCCTGCGGGCCCGGGCTAAGGCTGGGGCCAGGACGGAGTGTCAAAGATCCGGAGTGACGTGTTTGACGCTGTGTAAGTCACGCAGAGGCAGCCCGAGCCCGAGAAGCATTTCATTTGGGTGCACTCGTTTGCTTTAAGCACAACTCTCCCAAGTGCCTGCAGCTCCCAGCTCGCCAAAGCCAGGTGCAACGCTCCTGCGAGAGCAGCCAGCACCTGCCCGCCAGCGCGGGGGTTACGCGGGGCAGGGCCCCCGGCCCCCGCACCCTCCCTGGCCCCGCAGGCGCCCCCCGGGCGGCCCGGCCCTGCCCCAGCGAGGCAGCTGCCTGGCCTGGCTGCTGCGCTTGCACGGAGCGGGACACCGCTAACAAGGAGCAGGCTTTTGATGCTGCAAAATTTTCCATCTGTTCCCAGGATTTATAATTACATGCAACTCGCTGTGCACCTTCAGCGAGCCATAATTGGTAGGCATTTGCCTCATTAATCATTCAGGTGCTGTGAGCCGCTCCATGCACGACTGCAGAAGTTACGGCCAAATTTACATATCCTTACTGTGGTTTATAGCACTTACCACGTGCTATTTTTTTGAGCTGCGGTTGATTCTGAGGACATTTGCAGTTATTGTAGCTCGGTGGGTTTTTTAATATCCTGAAGTGCCACAAGATGGCACTGATTCTGAGGCACCTCGGCCTGGCTGGGCTCCTCTTGCCCACGCATCGGCTTTGCCATTGCAGCAGGTGCACTTTGGGCTACTTTGGTCATTTTTTACTAACTAGCTGGTGGCTCCAACAGCACAGCTTTTCACAGTTTGTTTTGTTTTGGTGTGGTTTAAGCTGTGGCTATGAAATGCTGTAGTTCTGTGACAATGATATGAAGCTTTGGGATTCAGACAGATTCAATTTTCTTGTATATGACGGCTGTTTGGTTTGGGGTTTTTTTTAAGGCCTAAGGCAAGCTGTACAAACAGCATACAAAGACCAGACTGCGGTAAGTCCACCAAGAGCTGACATTTCTTATTCGTTGCTACATTGGGTGAGTTCTTAGCAGCAGGTAGAAACCAGCAGTCCTGGGATGCTCAGGAAAGCAAGATCACCCACTGAGCCAAAGTATTTACTGAGGAAGCACCTGAAACTCTGCCAGTATGCCACTTGCCTCTGCGCTTGCTTCTCTCTGGAGCTTCTTCCTGCCACCACACTGGTAAGTCCAACGCAGTCGCGCACTCTGCGGTGTTTCTTAAGTATCTCCTGTACGTGAGCATTCGACACTCCCCTCGAGACTCCCCAGGTATTCATTCCCAGCTGGTTCATAACGTCTCTTGCCATTTTGCTATCGTAGCAAGCAGCTGTTTGCTACTTCTGACCAAACGGCGTTTTAGGCTGCTTGTAGCACCCTGAATGCAGCTCCCGGGGCTCACCTGATGGGTCAGGTGCAATAGCTGCTTCTGAATCCCTTTGTTGTGGCACTAGTTTTCAGTTTCACCCATGTATAATAAATAGCCTAACAAACATAGTGCGTTATTTCATTCCTTTATTAAGTTATGTCACAGTGCAAGTTCTCTAACTGCATCAGAAACATTTCTGGATAAAACCAATTTACTGTCATCATGGTTTAACACACCACTCTTACATGGATTTCTTTTTTTCTGTAAAAGGATACACGCTGGTCACATGCTGAAAAACTAGAAAAACTGTATTTCTTTAAAAATAGAATGAATCCCACACTATTCCTGAGTTTGAATTAAAATCTTAGTCAAGAGAAAATACAGAAATAAGGAATACAGACAATACAAACATAGAACAGATGTTTACATTTAAACATATGCCATTCAGCTATTCAGACACCAACATATCAAAGGCATATTACTGACATATGGTGTCTGACATGCTTCCACAAATGAATACATACGCCGCCTCTGATGACAACCGTGCAAACTGTATCTTTCCCCATGACCAGTTTATCAGGGGAACAGTCAGGTCTGTGCCTATACAGGAACATGTATTTTGAATTTCTTCTGGAGGACACACCATGATGTAACCATATAGTACGTCGAATCGGGAGTGTGTGTCAAATCATCCACTCCCTCTCATTTCCATTCAGACCCAGGGTAAGACTTTAAATCATGAGAGACCCAGCAAGCAGGTCTGCTTGGAAATGAGGCCCAGCTGGGCAGCTACACTGCAGTATTGTGTGACAATCCAGGAAACACTCCTCCTTCTGGGACAGCAACCCTGTCTCCAAAGGAAGAGCCAGGGGAGAGTGCCCGCTGAAACAAACAGCCAAACACAGTGGCGAATTTCAGCCAGCCACATCAGGTTGGTTTTCTTCCGCTGCAGTGAAGACTTGCCCTGGTTCCCGCAGGCCTTCAGCATCGGTACGAGTACAAAACCGAGCACAGCCTCCCATCAGTTGTCGCAACACAGCCCTCATTTGCTCCAACCGTTCCACACCACGCTACTCCCCTCACAAAGGGAGCCCTGGAACAGCAGAGCACAACCTCTGCAGCTGCTGAGCTGCTCTCCCAGAGGCAGGCCAGCAGAGTCAATCAATCAGGCACAATGGGCTACTCCCAGTGCAATTCTCAAAACCAATGGCTTGATCTCCTTGGCAGCTGGTTGGTGGTTCCAGCACAGGGGAGGTTACTATTTCACCACAGGAGAAATAGATGTTTAAGCTTATTAATATTATGGGGATTGGTCAGGCTAACGTGGGGCTACGTGCCAAAGTACTCAAGTCCTGTCTAGACTTAAGCATATTTCAGCAGAAAACGCATCATTTATTTCAGGTGCTGGGAGAGCTCTGCTGGCCAAAATTTGATGTACCAACTTGGAGGCTCTTGAGGGGCACCCAGAATCAGATGCAGGGTTAAGGGAACTTTTAGGATTTCAGCTTTAGAATTCAGTGCCTAAATTTTTGCCCATGTTCCTTTCTAGAAAGTCGTCAAGGGGTAGCTGCTCATCTCAGAGCCTCTCAAAGCAAGAGTAAAATAAGCAAAGGCCATACTGAAGTTTACACAAATACCAGCTGAGGAAGATCAGGCTGCTGAGAGACTTTACTGTGCCTGCATATGTAAACAAGCAAGGGGAAAAAAAAACACCACTTGCTTAAAGATAAATTAGCCCTCTTGTCCTCACTTGCCCAAAACAGCTCCAGCTCCAACCCTGAATTCAAGTTCATGGGCACCACCAAATTCATGTGCCCTAAATAAATATTTTTCTCTATTAAATAACTAACATATTTTTTGCATCAGAATATTCTTTGAGTCCAGCAGTTAATTCATCATGTGAAGCAGGCATCATTCAACTGAGGAAGGCTTCCATGAATGCACTAAATAAGGAGAAATTCCAAAGTGTGTTATTCCTTCTCTGGTTACGTTTAGAGCCTAACGGGGGGTACAGGCGCTGGTCCCACTGACGCCTGGACAAGGCTTTCAGCTCAGAGCAGGCTCACATCCTGTCACTTCAGAGCACGCAGAGCAAGCCATCCTCCCTCCCCGGGGATGGGAGTACATCTGTTCCTCAGCCCAAGGTGCCGAAGGCAGGCAGCAGGCTAACTGGCGTTCGGCATAAAAATGCCAAGTGAGTTGGGCTAGCCTTAAGTTGTGGGTTTGATTGCAAGAGGTCTGCTTTCATGTTTTCTGTACTGCTAGTTCCAAGATTTCTGCCATTAAATAAAAATACTGTTGGTGTTTATAGAATTTCCACAGTTTATTTTATCAGCCTCTCCTGTGTGTTCTCTCTGGCATAGAAAATAAAAAAAAAAAAAAAAAAAAAAAGCCATATATTGTCTTCTAGTCACTAGTTGGTCCTCCTTTAAGGACCTTGTAAGACATTTTTTTGTGCATTGTTTCCCTGCATATGTGGGCAGCTTTACTACTTCATCCCCCTCAGGACCACTTAACAACATCAGCAAAGCAATTAAGTGTAGTTTTCAGGAAAATGCCAGAGGCATTACACTGTCTGGATGGGAGTCTCAACCCAATTATTTTCAGCTAGTTGTGAACTGTGGAAAGTGGACTTTACTTCATTATAACTTCAGTTCCCACTGATTAAAAGTCTAGTGTGTTACAGACGGTAAGGAAAAATGAAACAATTAAACTTTCCATCAATAAAATTGCTGCATATTCTTCAACATAGGGGTTTACTTCTCTCTAGAGAAGTGATTAAAATGAACTGATTGAACTATAATTTGATTGACTGAAGAGCCACAATCCATTGCACTAAAGCTTAAATTCCATCTTATTGCTCTATTTAACTCTGAATGTAAAAAATTACTGGCGGTCTTGCAAACCCCTTATGCAGTCATCCAGCTGAAATTTCTTGCTGCTCACAGGCTGCAGTAGGTTCTGTTCTTCCTCTGCTGTGTGTGCATGATTCACAATGGATTGACGCTGAAAGAGACACGATGACACCTAAGAAATTACACTAATACAACTTTAAAAAAATTAGAAAAGGCCAGTTATATTATCAGGTATCTGATACCTATTACATAATCATTTGGGGATTCTAAACTCAACTACAGATAGAGTTAACCCAAGAGACTGGAGAGAACAATTGGCAGGTTATATACAGTTGTTGAAGCAAAAATTAGCATATTCTCCTGACCAAAAATGCAGCTGTGATGAACCTTCCTGCTGGAGAGCTGTCATTCAGCAAGGTGTGAGGTTGCCAGACGCACCGGTTTGTATGCAGGCGTATGTATGCCCCTCTCCTCCTAGGAGATACTGGAGAGGCCCGTTTCCTCTGGTCTCAAGTGTAAGTTGTGCTGGCTAGGAATCAGGATGCCTGGATTGCTGTCCAAAGACTGCTTCTTCGGACCTGGGGCTAAATTGTTAAGGTTTGCTTAGTCCATGAGGCCTTGATCTCCACAGATGGAGAAGTGTGGTACCAGAGTCAGGGACTCCTATTGCACAGTGAAATCTAGTGAAAGCTGGTTAAGAAACAACGAGCTGCTTGCTTCTGTCAGACTACTATAATGTTTTGATACAGAAAATACCTACAATATTGTTTCCCCCTCTGAAAATGTAATTGAAATGCCATTTCCTATTATGAGGTTGCCCCTCTGTTCTATGACACCTGTTTTCTCTATTCCCACCTTGTACTTTGCAATAAAACACAGTATTTGACTTACAGCTGCACCACAGTAACACTGAGTAAGAATGCATTACAGCCTTAAGTTGCAACAAGAACACATTATATTGGTAATTAAATGAATCAGGCTGGGTAAGATTTGCAGCTAAAGATGAGCAACAGCTGGCTTAAATACTTAACACACTGCCTCTAACAGGCAGCTCAAACTCCAAATGAAGTCAACGGATAGCACTGCCAAGAACCAGGGCATGTACTCCTTAAACTGTAATATTTACTACTGAGCTCAGTTCGCTGTTGAGCTTTGCACTTCTGGCCGTGACTGATCTACGAGGCTGGCTTCATAGCTAATCAGGCCATAGATGGGTTTTGTAACAGCTCCAACCCTTGGATATTGCCAATCCCAGTTTTACAGGGCTCTCTGATCACAGTCAGGGGTTACCAAGTTCTTTGGTCTTACTGTTTAAGCATAGGGCATGCCACAATTCTTCGTATTTGTTAGCCAAAAGCTACCAAGACTGTACTGGAGTAACTGAGGTGATATTGATCTGATAAAATGCTGCCTCCATCCAATTTAGAAGGAACACCTTTGACAAATTATATTTGGCACTTAATGATTGTCTTGCATTATTGGTCTTTTCCTTTGTTTCCTCTTTCATTTTGATTACCAAAGATGTTATCCTCTACTCCACCTCACCATATGTAACTTTGAATAAAGATGTGCAGCAACAACAGTAACAGTAGAATTTTAAAAGGAGACAAGGGCAAATGCAGAAGCACAGATCTGTAGGTGTCTCTGGAGGCTGCAGGGCGTTTGCTACATTCCTGGAGTCCAGCTTTATGTACACACACCAGAGTTAAACAGGGCCCCAGACAGCTTAAATGCCTGCTTATTGCCTATTTAATCTCTTAGTCCTTATACAGACAAATTCTCTCAATTACAACACCCCCTTTGTCTGCATAAAAACTGCAGAATGAGAAACAAAAAGGAGCCCCAAGTGTGAAACTAGACTCAAGACTTGTGTAATTCCTAGAGAAGAAAGTGGCAGGGATCTTGCAAACCATTTATTCATCTGTCACAGCGTTCCTACAGCTGTGGCAGCAAGCAGAACCTGGGAAGGGCTTTTTGTCATGCTGACATGAGTGATAAGAAATCTGGGGAGTGTGCAAACAATGTCAGGAGCAGGGCAGGACCTTCTTCCAAGCCCAGCCTGTGCAGGCACGGGAAGGAGGAGAAACAGCCATCTGGTGACCCAAGCGACTGCTTGATGTGGTTTCCCAGAAAAGTGTCAGCAACTGCATGGACAGAACTTGCCAACAGTTCCACCAGACCATACTGGACTGGCACTTCTGGGAAAAAGTGAAGAATGAATCAAGCTGGATCTGTTCTCTGTATGTGTGGGTCTCCTGGCAGATGCATGGGAATAACCACTCACAACTACTAAAAAGAATGTAATTTTGCTATGGATGCTGCAAATCACACAAGTGACTTCTCTGTTCTTACCCTGTTAGGGAAAGTCATCAGAATTTTCTGGTTTTCAACAGTAAGTTGATCTCAAAATCTCTAATTACAAAAAATATCTAAAAATTTATTAGCCAGCAGATTTATGTTTGAAAAATATAGCACTTTAATTAGAGATGCTGTAATTCTCAATTTTTAAGAAAATGTGATTACTGCAATTTCTTTGTTATAGTTTTACTATTTAAAAAAACATTATTTAAAAGGGACTATGTTAACTGTTTATTTCACACTGTTAAACCCCCAACAAAACATAAGCAAACACTTGAGCACTCTCTTCCTAGCAACCAAGGTCTTTCATCAGAAAAGCAGCATATTTGCCCTTTTGTCCCTCTACATTGCATTAAGCCAAATTTCTAGTTTGCAATGTGGGGCAGGGTTTGGCTGCTCTCAGCAAAACCCCCAGCATCGCACAATTGATAGAAGGAGACGTGCTGGAGCTTGTTGGTCACAGACCTTGGAAAGAATAAGATAAGAACTCCGTGCAGGAAGAACAGGGGGTGCTGACCTGGTGTTTGTGTTAAGATTAGGCGCTGTGGAGCAGATGTCCTGTAACTGGGAGTTACTGTTTTTGTAGGTAGGACTGTTGCAATTAGAAAGTGAATGTTTAGAAAAAAGCCTTTAGCATTAGCTAATCTCTGAATGCCTGATGTAGAATGTAAGCCAAATAAATCTTTGGTATACTTTAAAGAAACCAATTAGTGTGTAACACGCTATCTAGGAACTAGTATAAAAGTATGTGAGGAGTCATAATAAAACGGACACTTCGCTTGCATCAAGCTGTGTCCCGTCTCTCAACTGCAGCAAATTGGTGACCCCGACGTGATGCGGGACGAAATGATGTGATTAAACAGGGAATGAAGTGACTCCAGAATTCAACAACCACCTATCTGCGTGGCATGCTGTGAGTCCCACAGGACATTGAATGAGCTGCTGAAAGGAAGCAGGAGCTGGCCAGCACGAAATCCCTCCGGAGTAGGGAGGTGAGCTGTGGGAAACACGGGAAGCCAGATGTCTTCCTCAGAGAGAGACGTATATGAGCTTATGAAAGCTCTCCTTCAAAAGCATGGAAAGAATGTTTCTGGTCCTGATCTTAAGGCAATGCTTAAATGGGTGCAAGTAAAAATACCCACTGTGACTGCATCTACAATCTTTACACAGGAACTGTGGGATGATGTCGGAGTAAAATTATGGGATGCTGCGACGATGGGGGATGCCGAAGCGCAGCGCATGCTTCCGTGGTGGAGAAGTATTTTTGAGACATTAAAAGCCCAGGAGGAAAGTCATAAAGATAAAGCAGAGAAGGAGGGGAGCTCTCCCGCAGCACCTCTGATGCTGCTGGAAAACAAAACAAACCCCGAGCCTTCCGAAGTGTGTGCTGCGGGTACCCCCTGGAAGAAGACCCCTTTGATCCGGGGCCGATGGACTCTGAAAAGGAGCCAGACCTCTACCCCCCCGACCCACGTGATGTATGGGCTAACATAAGGCGTCAGGCCCTAAAGGAGGGAGAGCTGGAGATCGCAAAAACTATTGTGGCCCCTATGACTTACCAAGGGCGGGGGGCGCAGTGGGAAGCTTTATCTTTTCCAGTAGTTAAGGAGCTGCGTCGTACTGTTACTGAGCATGGGCTTTCTTCCCCGTATTTTGCAAGTCTGTTATCTTCTGGTTTTGATACTTATGTAATGACTCCGCATGATTTAAAATCCCTAGCGCAATTGTTATTGACTCCAACACAGTACACCTTATGGGAGTCACGTTGGAGGGGGGGACTCCAGGCGCTCCTTGCGACCTATGTAGGTCACGGCAATGCAGCTCTGGCTGCAATGACTATCGAGCACCTTACCGGCACAGGTCAGCACTCTGACCCAGTAGCTCAAGCCCGAGATATCCCACGGGAGGCTCCTGAGGCAACTCGTGAGGAAGCGAGAAGGGCTTTTTTCAAAATCCCGGACCTACAAAAGCCACGAAAAGCCTTTACCACCATTACCCAGGAATCTCGAGAACCTTATATATGCAGTTTATTGATAGACTGAAACAGGCTTTGGAGCGCCAGGTAGATAATACAGCGGCGCGGGAAATCCTATTGTTAAAGCTAGCCATCGAAAACGCTAATGCAGACTGTAAAAAGTTATTGAAATCTCTCCCGAATCCGAATCCTACATTGGTTGAGATGATAGAGGCTTGTAATAGAATCGGTACTGTGGATCATAAATTTGAGGCCATGGCCACTGCTTTCGCGGCCATGCGTGGCCCGACAGGGCCGGGGAACTGTTACGGTTGTGGCAAACCCGGTCATCTGAAAAGGAATTGCTTAGCTGCCAATACTGGTGCTAAGCCCCAGGCTCCTGGGATTTGTCCCAGGTGCCAAAAAGGGCGTCATTATGCTAATCAATGTCGATCTAAGTATGATTTCCAGAGACAACCAATACAGGGAAAACGATCACGGAGCGCGGGGCAGCACCGCGCGCAGACACAAATGCCACAGCCGACATTCCAACCTCCATGGAGGAAAGCAGCAGTGCCTCAAGTCTTCGCCCAGCAACAGCAGAGAAAGGCCCTCGATGGATCCCGGCAAAGAGCATACGACCTTTCTGTGAATCCCTACCACAATCATCTGGTGAGAATTCCGATCATCCTTCGGACCAGCCCTTCGAGCAACAAACTGGTGAACCTCCTGAGGGAGGGACAAGACAATGGGGACTGAACGCTGCAAGCAAGGAAGAACTGTATGAACCGGTGTAAAGAAACACCAGTTGCGAAAATCACTTGTGCTTTATGTAAAACCTATGAACCCTGGGTCTTCAGTATATGCTTTGGCTGTCTCTGTTCTCTTGTTACTTTTTTCCCCCATGTTTATTGCAATGCTTACAAGGACTGATAGCACACTCCATAAAAAGAGTTCTTATTGCGCAACAGAAAGGGGGAGATGTGGGGCAGGGTTTGGCTGGTCTCAGCAAAACCCCCAGCATTGCACAATTGATAGAAGGAGACGTGCTGGAGCTTGTTGGTCACACCTTGGAAAGAATAAGATAAGAACTCCGTGCAGGAGGAACAGGGGGTGCTGACCTGGTGTTTGTGTTAAGATTAGGCGCTGTGGAGCAGATGTCCTGTAACTGGGAGTTACTGTTTTTGTAGGTAGGACTGTTGCAATTAGAAAGTGAATGTTTAGAAAAAAGCCTTTAGCATTAGCTAATCTCTGAATGCCTGATGTAGAATGTAAGCCAAATAAATCTTTGGTATACTTTAAAGAAACCAATTAGTGTGTAACACGCTATCTAGGAACTAGTATAAAAGTATGTGAGGAATCATAATAAAACGGACACTTCGCTTGCATCAAGCTGTGTCCCGTCTCTCAATCGCGGCATGCAACCCTTTGGGCCATTCAATAACCATCAAATTCCTGGAATAGAATTTTAGGTGAAAGCCAGTGACTAAGCTATTTAACATTCCAGGAAAACCATCTATCAGGGTACCCAAAATTACCTTGGGCCAAAATTCCACATTGGATACATCAGAATCCCTATTTGAATGCCTGTGTCACCACTAATTACATGTAACACTATGATCATAGGGCCAGATTTTCAGAATTCTGCGTATCCCTTACTTCCACTGACAGACATATCAAAGAATTAATTTTAGGCACTAAGCTTCTTTACATTTATTAACCTGCTGCAAGACTTAACTCTTCAAATTACCAGCAGCATTTTACAAAGTGCTGAGTTTCTGCAATTCTTACTGCAGCGAGTACAAAATACAGATACTAAGTACTCCCTTGGGATTTAGCTCTGTCTTTAAAGGCTGGGATAGTGGTCATGTTTTTACTGAAGAAACAGGTTTTTCTGGATCTCTTAAGACCTTTGCAGGATGCTGAGGATCCAAAAATAAAAAAACAAACCAGAATACACTTGCACTAACAGAATCCTCTCCTTTGCTACATCCCTTCTTTTCTTACATAAGGGTAGGTTCTCCTTTTTTTCTTATATGAGGGACACCATAGGTCTCCCTGCTAACTCTTCGAGAAAAACAGAGGAGCAACTGGGAATCTGTCTTCCATGGAAAAGATGAAAGATTGCTAAGTGAGAAGATGTGTCCTTCTCGACACTTACAGTATGGTCAGAGAGCCAGCTCCCCTCCTCCTTTTCCCAAAAGAGTTTGCAGACAACTGTCCAGAAAAGTACACGGTCTCCCCAACAGTTCTGCTAACAGCAGGATATACTGCAGCACTGACTGCTGCTGCCGTGTCATCTCTGTGCCTCTGAGGTCAGCTGAGTGTATTAAATTAACACTGTTCCCAGGCAAAGTGAAATGTCTGTGAACAGAATGGTGTAGCATAATAATGGGATATGAGGGGTAGATACATGCCTAAATATTAAATGGTTGGAAGGAGTGGGAAGCATTGACATTATTCTAACTTATGTGACTTAGTGCTAAATGTACATTGTCATACAATCTCCCAGCACATTGTGTCTGTTCGTCACCACTTAACATTTTCTTAGCTTATTTCAGTATTTTTGCATTTTTTTAATCCTTAATAATTTATTTATGAATTTAGGATTATTAACTATTTGAAGGTTCATTACAAACCATCCGGGGGGAATCTCACCTGACTCATCCTACTAAATTATTATTCCCAAATATCTAATTTACATTTAATAAGACATCAGTTGAACATCAATAAAATAATTAATAAACTACAGCTTCCTAGAAATACTAGTAGCTTAAATATGTAAGCAAACACAGCACACAATCCACAGGTCAGCTGTCAAATCTCTCAGAGAGTATTTGTCAGAATCATTTAGTATTTAGAATGTGACAATAAGCCATAAAAATATTTAATTGCTATGGTATTCAACTAATTCTTGTGATAATTGTGAACCATACCACCCCGTGAACATGTTAAGGCAGAGCTGGAAAGTGTTCTATGTAAACAGAAAGGGCAAAACACTGTAAATGCCTAAGGGACTCCATGTTTCCATGAAATGAAATGGCAAAAGACTTTTGGTTTGGGCAAATACTTATTTTTTTACTTTAATATGATCTCTCAAACTGAAATGCTTTATATTGCTACGCAGAAAGTTAAAATGCATTTTTTTTTTTTACCAACCTAAACTTCTCCCTAGTAACATTAAAACAGCACAGTTTAACATTGCTGGTTGTTCTGTTTTAGCAAAATACCAACCCAAAGGACAAGCTTTGGCACGTATTTCTGTCCAGACAGAAGTGGCATTATTTCGGTAAAGGCCCTAATCCTATTCCACCCACAGCAGAATAACCCTATTACACTCTACAATGCTATTTACCAATAACTGGGAACCACTTCCATGTATGTTTCCTAGGCTCATACAAAGCCCACATGAGGTTGAAATAGAGGAAGGGGAAGCACAAAGGTCAAAATTTTCATTCTGAATGTTTTTTTTTCTTCACTGCATCAAGTTCTTATTACGTACTTTCCTTAGTGGTTCAAATTTTATCATGGCTTGAAAAAGAGCCTTAGATGGAAGAGATGACCGTGTTACCAGTAGCATGCTGCTGTCCCAGTCCACTAACTCACTTACCCTGTTCTTCAAAATGATCCCACTGAAGTCAGTGGAACTCCCCCAGCCCCTCACTTCATTAGGATTTACATCAGGGCTTTAAATGTCCATCTGTGGAACTAAAGCCAAAAGACAGTATTATCTTTCTATGACAGTCTGATATTTTTTAATAGTCACTGACTCTCCTCCTTTTCATCCACAACACATTTGTCTTTAACTGCTCATGTCCACTGTTTGGGTATCTCCATTAGACAAGCAAGGATTATAAGGCTACCTGTCCTTAGGCACGCAACATGGGTCCATGCAAACATTACAATCCCATTTGAAATCTTAATGCCACTCGGGATGTTTACAAGTCCATTGAGATGTGCTACTCAGACCCTAACACAGAGGGGCTTCAATTCAGTATTTTAAAAATTGTTATGATCTACAGGGGCCAGACACTCTGGTCTGACCTCCTACGTCAGATTTTTACTTGGTTACTTCTCCATCAATTGCCATACCTCCTATTTGACTAAAACATGTCTTTCTGAAATACTTCCAGTCTTAATCTGTAAACAGAAAATCTATCATCTCCTCTCAGTAGTTTACACTAGCATTTATTACCCCCCACACTGAAAAGCACGTCTCCTCAGCTCAGCTTGTCAGGCTGTCACTCCCACTCACTAACTTCCTACTTCTCTCTGCTACACAGTGCTTTGGCAGTCTGTATTTTGGTCCCAAGGAGTTGCTGGTACACCACAACTTGGATGAGCTGGACTCAGAGGTATGAGCAATTCCACCATTCAGAAACATGTAAGCAATTGCATGCATACATTCACATCCTTGGCGTGTCTTTTTACTGTGAAGGATTCAAAGTTCAGAATCAAGGAAACCTCCTATGTTCCTCCTGAGCAGATCCAGATACTTTCCTCTTTGGGGCACTCTCATAGGGAAATGATGACTAGTTCAACACAGAGAGCACTTGCCCACAGCTCTGAGGGATGGTTGTAATTTTAGGGCAACCCACTTACCAGATTTTCTATTTCCTCTCATTTAACCACACTCAAGTTTTGAAGGAAAAATATCACTCACCTCTCAAAAAATTTCCACTATGGACTAGTTTCACTGTCCTCATTCAATCAAACTACTTGCTGACTTGAACAGGTGTTTTCTTGAGTAAGAAAGAATAAAGTCCTCAGTTTCTGGGCCTTCTTTGTAATGGATCCTGTGAAAATCAAAATAAATAATGTACACCAATTCACCTTTAGTGAGTGCAAAAATAGTCCCCCCATAGTGATAGCTATCAGTTTGTCTCCAGTGAGAGCTGTATAAGCTCTTCTGTAAACATGACAATGAATAATGATCAGTTTCTTACTCCTCTCTTGCGTGACAGACCCTTAATTATGGCTACTACATTATTAATCGCTTCAGAGAATTCTACATGGTTAAAACTGTGTTCTCCTCCGGACATCGAAGACAGTATTAAAACCCTGCCTAGGAGAGCTCCTCAAAAACATCTGCTGATGTTCACCCTAACTAAGAGATGCTCTGTTCTTGGCAGAGAGCACATGGCTTCAGCTTGCTGCATCCTACTCCCAGATAAGATATCCTGCAGAAATTGATACACAACCAAAAAGGGGTAGATTTCCACCTGAAAACACTGAGAGAAAAGTCCACCTCTCATCAAGCTCTAATAAACTATTCAGATTTCTGTTATCCTAGCCAGACCTCTAGGATGCTGCAAAGGTCACCCATGCTTCCTAAGTTCCTGACCACTGATGCTTGCAGCAGAACAATGAACAATGCTAAAGCAGTATCACAAATTATGACTGTGTAACGTAAAATGGAACTAGAAACCACCCACTAAGGCACTGTACCACCAGCATCTATTACTGCACCACAAGCAGAGCTGTAACATTTTAATCACATATAGCATTTATGGGCATTCTTTGGGGATAAACGCAAATCTACACGCTTCTACAGTCAGCTGGGAAGGATGTCTACACAGGTACCCCAAGGAGGGAACAACAGGGCAGAATCAAGATTCAGGTTTGCACCAAGCGATGAATGATTCATGAACTATTTATGCATAGTTTACATGAACCAATTCTTACATTAGAACATTCTTACATCTAGAACATTAATGTAACTGCCTCAAGAGAATTACTGGAAAATACTGTTGTTTTCTGCAGGTATGTAGATGTAAGCTAAAGCTAAGTATATATAACAGGTGATGATACATATTATGATAACATATTTGGTTTGGACTTCTTTTGGAATATGTAGTGACTTGCTGACAGCCAACATCCTACATCATTATCTGTGTGGAAAGTAATGCCTGGCAATTTATCAGTTCTTAATAAAGCTCTGTGCTTCTAACTATTACTGTTGATGCTACTCTTCATTTTGATTCAGCTGATTTTTGTCTAGGCTCAGCACTGTGGCTCATCCATGTTTTCCCAGCTCCCTCAGGATTTGCAAATATGAATTCCTACTTGATGAGCCTGTTAAAAAATTAAGAACTGCATATACAGCACTGCCCTTGTCTGTCCTCAGTCTGTCCATGAAACTAACAGTGGTTCAAGATGCTAGGAAGGCACACGTGCATACTAAAAGCATAGGTTCTAAGATAAACATTGCATTATCCATAAGCAAGTTATACTATCCTAAAACCATACTGTCAGGGTGTTACTACCACACTCAATTAGGACTGTATGTGCCATGCAGGAAAAGAATTTTGAGATGAACCGCATCTGTAAAGGTAAATGTCCTCAGAACTTCACAGCCACTCAGTGATGAAGCAAAAATAAGTAGATTTCAAACACCTCTCCACCAAAACTTAAGCCTATTCCGTACCCATATGGTAATTACTTTAGAATCAGCTAAAGCATGACTTCATTTCAAGTAGAGTTTAATTATGTCACACATCAATTGTCAAGAGCTGTTGTAAGCAACTATGACAAAGACACAATTCTCAGTTATATACTTAGGCAACAGTAACGCTTCCCTGTGAACCTTCTGAATATCTCTTACTGACATGATGTCAGCTACTCCATGAGCCATGTTCCTCAGCTGTGGGAGTTTATCAACTTTCCACTGATTTGGTCAGCTGTGGAGACTGCTAAAGATCAGGTCTCACATGATTATGAGTTCACAAGAGTGTTCTGAAAAGGGACATTTAAACTATTTATGATTATTGTTGCAGCTTAAATCCGGTACAATATTTTTGATGAAGCTTTATGACTCCGAAAATTCACAGTCTAAATGCTAAAAAACTGATTCTCCACCAAAAAAAAAAAAAAAAAACAAAAAACAAACAAACAAAAAAAAAAAGGCAAAAAAAAAAAAAAAAAAACCACAACCCACAAATCGATCTTCTGCTGCCCAATTCCATTCCTAATGAGAAACAATTCAGAAATCTACAGGAACATGCTTTATTGATTCATTCGCAAGTCACTAAAGCCTGCTGCCTGTGTTCCCTCCAGTAAGACAACCACATAGTGCTCCTCTTGTACTGAATTGCAGGAAAGACGATGACCCCAGATCTGTTCTGCTGGAAGTCCAGTGAGACTAAACATACCCAATAAATGTAAACACAGTAGCCACTAAGTTAATGATAAATGTGTGTAGGAGACAAAGAGACTTGCATTTCCTCTTTATTATCCCTTCAGTTGAGCCACTGCCTTCTCTGTAATTTATTTACCCAGGACAGTTGGGCCCAGATGCATACCTGTTTTTTTCAGAGGTACTTGTTTTTCTCAATTTTGCAGATGGATTAAATAAACCAGGAGGAGGCCAACCTACATGTGTGAGGTCACACAGTGAACTGTAATCTACACTGCAGCAAAAGTCTGAATCTGTTCAGGTTCAAGACCTAATTTGGCATAAACCTGGTGTGTAGCTGTACTGCACTGTATACTTCATAAACATATCTTTCAATAATCCCCTGTGCTTCTTATGAAAGCAATAACAAGCAGTAAGAACAAGGGAGCCTATATTGGGCAAGCTTTCCTATTAAATTCCACTAATGCATCTCAGCTGTGACCTGTTGTAATTTGAGTAACATAATAAGGCTGAATGCCCCATAAGAATCTGGGATGATATACTGTCTACCTGCAAGATAAAAGGAAGTGTCTAGTTGCTCTCTTGTACTAAGTATCACTTAGCAGTCAGAACAAAAGTGAACTTAAACAGATGTAACAGGAAGAGAAAACACATTATCAAGAATAAGAAAATCTGCTTCACATAGTCATACAGGTACTTTCAAGTACCACCATTTCAACATTCATTTCCAACTCAAAACATTACACCTGCTTGTCCTGCTTAAGGGAATATGCTACATTCAGATTTAGTCCCAGGTTTTACAGTAACTACAGTTACCACAATTACTCCGATACAAATACCTTGAAGTATGGCATCTTCTCAGACTCACCCAGGTTTTGCCAGAAACCCAGTCTCCTGCCTTCCACCTTATGACACAATAGGTTTTTAGAAAGCCCACTTCACTTGAATCATTCTAATACTTGTCTTCCTTTATGTATGCTTTTGGTAAGGGTGCACAGACCCAGTCAGGCGTAACACTCTCTACTGCAAAACTCATCTGTTCACCTGTATTATGATTTCAGTCCCTTAGTGGCTTTAGTGCACTTCTATGTAGAGAATGGCTTCAGGAAGCAGCCTCTGCTCTCAGGTAGCTGTTGCTTAGATAAATAAGGTAATAAGCAATTCAGAGGTGTATAGAGGAATTAAAAGGGTTTTTTTTTTAATGCTCTTTAATATTTCCCCTAATTCTAAAATCAGCCACAACCCCAGCATAAAAATCACTTTTCCTTTAGAATTGTCTCTCAGCAGGGTAGTGCACACTGCCAAGTTATCGCTTTGTGCCATACCGTATGTTCAAAGCCATCAGTATTCAATGTGCTAAGAAGTGACACCGAATCCCACAATCAGAAATAAAAATGGAAGTTTCAAAAAGATTTCAGAATTTAGATGAATACAAATAGCTGCTTTGAAGATGCAAAGCATTTTGCAGATTTACATTTTAGTCCATTTTGAATGGATAAACAGACAAAAATGTTTTGTAAAGGAACAATAAGATTTCCAGTTTAACACTTTCCACAGTTAGATTGTAAGAAATACTAGGAACCACAGAAAGAATTATTTATATTCACTGTACAGAAAGCTTATGTTTCACTTCAGCTTATTACCCGAGCTCCTGAAAAGCATCTCATTTTATAACCTTAACAACTATTAACATAAGCCACAAGCTTTCTGCAAATGCACATTCCCACCCTAATTCACACGATCATCTTTCCCACTCAACTACAAGGACCCAAAACAATCAGGGTACTATCGTTGTTTAGTCAAGAGATTCAGAAAGTTTATCAAAGGTTATCTTTTCTTCTGAAAGACACAAGAAATGTTGCCAAAGCATTCATACACACTTAGAAATAAAAATGTTGAGGGCTCTGAAAGGAAAATTAATTGGAAAGATTCAGCCTCTAACATTGCTTCCTGTCACTTCACTCCTAATGACTGAAGTGTTTTTATAGTTTTCTGTGTTCTCCCTTAGTGCTGTGTAATTTCATTTCCAAATCCCCCGAGAGCTCTGTGACAAACCTCCAAGGTGTTTCCAGGATATAAAGGTCAGAGCCAAAGAAGATGGGGATGGGGTGTGCAGAAGGCAAGTCTCAGAATCTCTTGCTTCAAATCCGTCACTGATATAGAAACCAGGGACAGTAAAGCACAATGGATAGTCTTAAAGCAAAAATAAACCCTAGTAGGAACTTCTTAAGGAAAAATCAACCCTGGTGGGAACCTCTTAAAGATCTTAGAGTAGCTTCCAGCAGAATCCAAGTGACATTCCTTAAATCAAAGGAAGAAGACAGCATTCCCAGAGATCTGCATGGAAATCAAACAGGCTTCCAAATGTCCCAAATTTCTTGAACAAAAATCTTACACTGGGAAGCCCAAACAAAATGGCTTGCATGCCTGGCACATGAATAATGCTTAGTACTTAGGGAAATCCTCCTGTGCTATAATCCTGGACTCCTCCCCACCCCATCCTCCAAAGACATCTTTCCTCACCCAGCTCCTTCACTGCCCTCACACCAGCCTCCAAATTCCTGTAAGATACTGTTGTTTTGGTTTAGACATCGTATGACCTTCCCTATGCTGGCTGGTTCCATTACTGTTAAAGAAATGCCAGCCAATCTCTATCCTAGGGTTCCCTAACAACCTTATTTTCTTTTTTTATTGGTTAATTAACATAATCACTTCTTAAGAACAACTGTAGTACTAGTTAGTGGAACAGGTGTTCGAACTAGTAAAAAGTCTATAAAGAGAAAAATCAATATCCCACCAGATGTACTGGAGGCTGTACCTTCTAACACCACACGTTCCCTTTTGGGAACCTGAAAGAATTCTCTGTTGCTTTTGCATGATGTGCCTCAATTTTATATTATTTGTTATTCTTGCTTTAATCAAGTTCTTCCATAGTATAAACGTGATCACCATTATGCTAATCTCTTTACTAGACATGCAAATATATAAACATTTGTGTGCCAAATTATTAAGGTTCTGTCTATAATGTTATGCCCTTATTTACTATCTCTATTTTATGTCTTATGGATTTCTAAACATTTAAATTTATATCAGTGCTGTCACATATCTGCAAGCAAAGACAGTTTTATGAGCACTAAAAAAGCTGCAACACACAGCCACTAAATACTAATGACATAAATGGTATCCACTAATGGTCTCTATTTTTATTACAATGCAGAACTTCAATATATTGCAATTATCATTGCTCTCAGACTGAACCATACACACTGTATAACGCCAACTTCCATCTCTATAGCATAAAATGGCATTATTTGTTGTATATAGTTCAGCCCTGTACAGTAGATGTTGACTGAGTGCTCAAGTCAGCAGCTGTAGCTAAAATTCACTCTATTTACAGTGTCTTACTGTTAACTAATACCCTCAATTGTCAGATATGCCAATGCATTAGACATTTTTCAAAGCCTACTGCACTAATAGCATGTAAGCGTAGCACATGTCTTGTTGTACCTGTCAACAGCCCAGTAACTTTGCAAAGGTAAAGCATGTCAAAAAAGGAAATTATCTTATGTTTCTGCATTAAAAAAAAATCTTTAGTGAGTGACTTTTCTAAAATACTGCAATACAAAAGTGCATTCAACAAAGCTTACTCTCTTGTAACTGGGTTTTTATTTTACCTTTTTAATGTTACATTTTAAATTTTTCATTCATAATTAGAACAAGGTCTCTCTATTTCAGCTATCAAAAAGACAAAAGTTTGCTCTTAGGACTGAGACAGTGGAAATCTAAATGTCGTCCATAAAACTGGATGAAAAAGAGTGTATGCCAAAATCCCTCATCCATGATTTGGAGGGCAGTGGGGTTAATTTAATTTCATCTATGCATTTTATTTGCCAGAAACTTTCACCAAAAAAGGAAAGCTCAATTCAGCTCTCTGACTTCCTCATGCCTGTTTCTCTCACATAAAACAAGCCCAGTTATACTCCTTTCCACTCACTTCTACCTCAGAAAGCTGAAAGTTTTGTTTGAAACAGGAAACATTTTTCCTAA